ATTCAGGGGCGCGCCCCTGTTTAAGGCTTTATTCAGGGGCGCGCCCCTGTTTAAGGCTTTATTCAGGGGCGCGCCCCTGTTTTAAGGCTTTATTCAGGGGCGCGCCCCTGTTTAAGGCTTTATTCAGGGGCGCGCCCCTAATTAAAGCCTTAGTTTGCTAGTTTCAGGGGAGCTGATATATTTAGATTGTGTCTGCAGATATTATGTTTGTTTAATGTCTTTCATGATAAATGCTGAATGTAATTATTTTTATGTTTGTAAGAAAAGGTGGTAAAACTATAACTGAAGTATTTTTCAATGCAGCATACATGTACCTTTTAGAAAATGTTACTGCCAATGTCTCTCAATGTTTATCCAATAAATATATTTGAGTTCTCCCCAAAACCAAGTTCTTGTGCTTGTTATTAATGGGGTTACACGACGTGATTGCCAGACTATAAAGTTACATGTGGATATAGGGGGGGGGGGGTATAGTGCAAAATCATTCTGGTAAAGGCATGGCAAATCTGGTAAATCAAGTGTAAATATGGGTAAATTCGACTAAATTTTAGAAATACTCCACCTGGTAAATCTCGGTAAATGTCGTAAACGCACCTGAGGAATACCCGTATGGTAAATCTCGCTAAATGCCCTTGATATATGTCAGAAATACCGCGTACGGTAAATCTCGCTAAATGTACCTTTACCCGAACCTGGTAAATTTGGGTAAAGAGGATAAACATTACCCGCTTTACCATGCTGGTATACCTGTGGTATAGTTGCACATTTACCGATGGGTAAATCTCCGGTAAATGTAACCTTTACCGGGCTTTACATCACATTTACCTCTGTGGTAAATCCGACTTTTCGTGCAGTGATAAGTTTTAGGCGCTAATTTGTTGGTCGTACTACAAATCTAAAGATGGTTGCATAAATTATGTTAATGCAATAATGCCGCCTGTCGCTAGATGTCGTTGTTGCATGTCCTTGGGGTTTGGACATTGAGAGTTCGATCCCCGGAGAAGAACTTTTTCTTTTTGTAATTTTCTCTTTTTTTTAATTTTTTTAATTTACTTTTTTTAAATTTTCTTTTTAAATTTTTTTTTAAATTTTT